GTGTGAGGCTTCAAGAAAGCCATGCGCTTTCCATCTGTGGGAACTTTCCTGTACTAGGCCTGAAAAACAACCAAAACCTGAAGCTCTCAAGCAAAGCCATTCCTCAGGCATGGCACGGGAACTTCATGCGGAGCTCTCGTGACAGCTTCCTAGGCGGAGATATATGCATCATGATTCTTGTGTCGCTGGGTATTCACTTCCGTGCCGCGTTTCATCTTCCTTCAAACCCCAATAGAGAGCGGCAGGCACTAAGTCGGCAAGCTTCACGGACAAACAAAGGGCTGTTGATTCTAGCAGGCTGCGGGTGCTGCATACGAGTGACACTCACAGCTCCAAAAATCTCCAAAGAGTTTCTGCTTTGCCCCGCACTGGCCAGCTCTGTATTTTTTCCTCGATGACCTTGAACGCAGAAACCTGGAACTGTTTTCTTGCTGCTCCTCATCATGTTCACGAACCTGTATGAGTGCTGAACTTAATCTCTGCCAAAACACATAGACTGGGCCATCCTAAACAAGGTTGACCTGGATCCATTGTTTGAGGTCTTCAGGTATCTGCCAGGGTGGGCCCCTATCGATTTTCACGGTTGTTGGCAAAGTCGTTCGCCATGAGTCGGAATAAGGAGGGTCAGAGTCGGGAAGGAGGGCTAGAGTCGGGAAAAAAGGGGTGTGGAGTCGGGAAGGACCGGAGGCGAGAGTCGGGAAATATGGAACGAAACGTCATGTAAATTTACATGATGTGTTGGTGGACTGTTCATGTGGCGGCACTCCCCAAGATGAGGTCACTGTCGAGAACACCTATTCGCTGTTGCACTACCGCATGATTTGCCAAAGGCAATCTTTCATGACTTCCCTCAGTAGCTTGGATACCTACAACTATTTCAATTTGCCTGTGTGTGTGTGCGTGTAGGAAGGCAAGCCGAAGCATGCAGAATTTCTAGTGGAATCCGCCATTACTTTTAATCAGCACTATCAGCATCCTGACTGCTACGCAGATCAAAGTTTTGGAAACATATGATCACCAACATCACCCACAACTCTGTGTAGTCCACCGTGGACCCTGAATCCCACAGACCTTTAACCCCGTTACATATGTATATATATATATGCATATAACTGTAACCTCAAGGAATTTCAACCCTGCAGGCTCTTAACCCTCAACCCCGTGGGGCCTCAAAGCCTAAACTGCATATAAGCCCGACCTAGAGTAACCTAAGTCTCACAAATATCAGGTACAAAGCTCTCTTTCAATGGGCTCATTGGTTACTCTAGGTAGACCCTAGACCAGAGCCAAATGGCCATGTCTCACTTGGGATTCCTAATCCCTAGACCCTACTCCCTCAACCTTTATCACATAAGAGGACCCCGCAATTCTGTAAAAGGGGGGGTATGATACAAATATAGTACGACCCTAATATATTCATTATAGTCCTTTAAAATCACTATGACTGGGTGGGGTGTCCACCTTATCCTAATCCCTAATCCCTAGACCCTTATATCACAAAATGGAACAGCAATGCGAACTTCTTTAAGGACTTAGCTCTTGGAGGAGACCCCGACGAATCTTACCCCCTGCTGAATCCTAATACTTAGACCTAAAACAAGATTAGCCCCCCCCCCTTTAAAGTTTCTCATAGGGTGATTTTCTACCACTGCTTGAGAGCTTGTGGTCTGAGTGTTTCAGGGTTAAGGGCATCAGGGTTCCTAGGGTTGACGTAGGGTCCAGGATTGAGCATGCATGGTTTGTGACTTCTAGGGATGTAGTTTCTGTGCAAAAAAATGTAAATTTACATCCTGTTTTGCATGCTCGACCAAGAGCATGGTTCCATGGTTCCCGACTTCCTCCTTTATGGTTCCTGACTCCTGCCCTTTATGTTTCCCGACTTTCGCCCTCGTGTTTCCTGACTCCCAGGCCCTGACTTCCTTTCATAACGAATGACTTCGACAGCGCCCCAATTTTCACTCATGACCACCCCAAGACATATTGCCTCTTTCACAGTTCGGAGCTAGCACTCAGACTTGTATGGTGTAACTTTCACCAGCTGACACGGTCCCGGTGGCGAGATGCAATCTTCATCACGCAGTAGCATCCTGCAGCAAGGTACTGTAAAAAGTGGCCGTGCAGCAAGCTCAGCATACAGGAGTTCAAACAGGTGGCTACATGTCCAGACTGAAAATTGCTGGCAGCAAAGCCAGATTCTCGCTGCGTCGCGCCAATAAGCGCATCTGCCTTGTGACGCCGAAGAATGTCCAGATATTCTGCACAAAGACTATCTCATTCCATTGAAGCCTCTGAAGGTGAAAAAAAATCCGTTTGCTTGACTTTCTGCCGCCCGAGTGAGGTCCTTGCCATGGCGTTCGCTATGGTGGCCATGTGCCGTGTGTTGCCTTGGGAGCCAGATGCTAACAATTGGCACTGTTGGCACTATAAGCCCGTTTTCAGCCCATCCTAAGCTTTCACATCCTTGCCTTCTGTCTTTGCTTGGCCTCCTCCATTTTGGCAAGGCACTCTGCGGGAGAAGCTTGGCTGCTCTCTCCACGTAGAGTCCAGCCACCTCTGCAAAACAAACTGGATCACCCTCTTGACTGGAGTGATGCAAAGTAGTCGTGCCTCCATCGCAGTCTCATCTTGAAGGGGTGACCTCTGCATACTGCCGCAAATACGAATCTCCCAGCTTCCCAACAGCCAACTCAGTACTGTCAACTACTTTGCATGGGATAGGTCGAGTTTTGTTTCTCAACTTCAGCTACACAAATCCTCAGCGAAGGATCAAGCTGGCCTGGAGCAAGCATTCAGTACGCGAGAGGCACCCTCAGCATCAGCGTGGCGGACCTTGCCAACCCCACGTTACTGACTTGTAAGTCTTCAAGCTGAAGGTCTTGTCTTAGGCAGAACCCCGACGCAAGCTTTGTTGAAAGGTGGCGGTTAGGCAGCTGTGGCCTCGGGGTATCACCGTTGTCTTTTGCTCTGCAACATCTGGTGCCCTGCTCGAGTCGAAGATCTCAACTTTATCTGAGATGTGCAGCTTCTCGCACCTTATGCTGAGAATCCAGGACTACAATTGTGAAGCGGCAAAGCGCTTGAGGAAACCCGAAGAGTCCTGGAAGCAGCAAAAGAGAAATCCAACAGATGACGTTGATACCTTGCATCCGTGCGGCTACACCTTTGGCTCGCTCCAGGTGTGCCCGCCAAGCGCCAACATTCCTGGAAAATTCTGCTTCTGCATTTGAGGCCTTTTAAGGCCTAACCTCTGGAGTCCCCATCGATCCCCTGCTATGAGAAGTGGCAAGACCAATGTGCAACTATCGAAAAGGCATGAGGTGGCCCTCGTATCCAAAACTGCCCAGCATCGCGCTGCGTCGGCGAGCCAATGCCTGATGGTCATTGCTGCTCAACACAGGCTTGGCCTGCAAAAGACATACTGTGCATCTGGAGCACTTGAGTTTGTTAGAAGCGCTTCTACAAAGAACCGCTTCCATTGAAGCGCCTCCAAATGTGGAACTTGCCATGCACAACTGAATACTTCCATCGTTTTGGAATTCACCGCGGTCTCCGCCCCACAGGAGTCTGGTCCACTGTCTAGTTGCGTGGTGGCACACATACACGCACCACTCCTGCTGCCAGCCCCATTCTCTGGGTGAGGGTCAAAGGCCGTGGCGGAGGCTTGCTTTACAATTGGGATGCGCGCAGTTTCTCTTCCACCTCATGCAGCTCACGCGTCCAAGCACCTAATCTTGCTGTCACGCAAGCTCGGCCCTTTAGGCATTTGCGAGCATGGATTTCCACATGTTTCCACAGCCATGCTGCAACATTGTGTTTTCCAGCCACCCCTTCGTTTCACGCTTTTCGGGCGTCATCTGCTTGCTGCCTATGTGAATTTGGTCGGTGACAAGGTCCCGAGCCCCGTGTGCACATCGAATGCAACAAGTCACAAGCCTCGCATAATCTCAGCTGCGATTTCCTAAACACTTTCGCGGCCTGCAGGCTCCGAGCAGCCAACGACGGATCTCCCACAGCGGCACCGCTGCAGTGCCGGTACCGTGCCTGGGATCTATCAAGGAGGCAGACTAACAAATGTTGGATGCTACTCGAAAGGTGTCGGACATGCAGTCAGGTGGGGGGTCTGTGCGGCGGCAGGGGACTATAGCTGCCGGATGCCGGAGCGCCGCTGCAGTCGGCCGCATGAAGGGTCCTGCAACAAAACCCACTCACATTCCACGACTCAAGCCAACCACAAGACATGGACTTTCCAGCACGGATCCCTGTGCTTACTGCCATGTATAGCCCAGCATGCCACTGCAAAAGAGACATTGTTGCTCGCTTGGATATTTGGTTCAAAGCACCTGTGCGACTCGAGGCATGGCAGCCGCCATGGCACAATCAGGCCAGGGTCGTTCTCCAGCATGAGGAGCTCACACGGCTCAACCGTGCTTGCTGTGTTTTCTGACAAATGTAACATACCTGAGATCTCGAACCGAATTCCTCGAAGACCAGTCTCAGACGGTATGGATCGAGCGCGGGCTACAGTGTTGATAACTTCAAAAATACATCGTGTCCTGAAGTTCGATCACGATGCCTGACTTTTCATGAATCTAACGTCAACATCTGCAGGGGTGTCTGGTCGTCTGTTTCAATGCTTCAATACCAAGCCGTGTTGAAGGTCGCAGCCACGCCCCGATGCCCCCAAGTGATTCTCCACGCACCCCCCTTTGAGGCTGACAATTGCGTGCGAGATCCTGACCACTTTGCACACTGTGTCCTTGTCCGTTCAACTAGGGGCTGCTGTTAAGAGGTAACATCTGTGAAAGTCACGGGCTACTGATGAGAGCGTTCCATACACCCGCTTTGGGCAGCATCCGCTCAATAGATGTGACCGAAATCTTCTACGGTCAGCCAATGCAGTGAGTCGTCAATGCTTGGGACATACGATGAAAAACTGCGCTTGGCTTTGTCTGTACATCTGCTTGCATGCCATAATAGTATGCTAAAGGAGCGGCGTGGGCCTCGCGCAGTTTCGACTCAGCATCCCCATGGCGGGTCTTCATCTCCTGCACACACCCACAGACTTGGTAGTGATAGTGCTGCAACACGCCTCGCCTAGGTTTCTGACGGCTTGCACGGGGACATGAACTCACGAAACAGCTGCACAACGATGATCCTACAGCTTGCATTGAAGACGCTGACCACAACAAGAACCTGACTTAAGCAAGCTTATGAAAAAACCTTCCAGACAGTTTGGCTGCAGGCCTGATGCTTTGCTCGTTGCGAGGCCAAGGCAACCTTCAAAAGGTCTGATCCCAGCTCTGCTTCCACACGAGGCTGAGGTTGCTTCAGCATAGCAATGGCAACGTGGCTGCTTAGGAGTCCCGGCATGACTCGTAAGCGCTTTACTTCAGGCTCAAACCACTTCGGTTTAACCCCGCTCAGAGTCATGCTACCCAGAATTGTGTTCATGTAACATAAACTGTTGCAAACCAAACTGAAGGAACAAGCCCTTCTTCATTTCAGCTCCATCACTCTGAGCTGAGGCATCTTGAACCCTCTGCAACTCTGCTCATGTGTTAACTTGTCGTCAGTACGGTGAATCATCTTCTCCGCAGCAGCAGGCCTGGGCGCCCTTAAGCGCGCTGTCCGTGCGCTCTAGCTGCGCGGTGATCTTCTCCAGCTGGGTTTCCTGAGCAGACAGGAAATGCCACAGTGCTTGCAATAGCTTTCAGGGAAGAAACTGTGCAAATCACAAGGCAAACAGCCGGGAAAGCACGAATCCATCAATGTGTATGATGACCACAAAACCAGCATTCGAGGTACGACGTCTGTTTAGAGGCTTTGTGCACCACTACACCGAGATTGCTTATGTGCACTCCAGTCAAGGGATTGGGGAGGAGCCCGTGCATGAGCTGGTGAAGAAACGTGCCAAATCTCAATCCCAGCCTGCATAATGCAAACCCTGGTGCAGGAGGCTCGGCAGGCTGTCAAGCACGCGTATCGTGCTTTCTTTGGGAGGCGAAGGACGGCACAATGTTGACAGACTACTTACAAGATTTTCAGTATTGAACTCGTGCTTTTGATCGTTGGGAATTCATGGATGACACAATCACTGCAACATGTTCGTGAAAGCATACGTTTCGGAGTGAGTCATTCAGGAACTGCTTGCAAACCTCTACAAAAAAATCTTAGGAGTTGGTCTGCCTGATGGCCAAGAGTCAAACACGCTGAGGTCCAGTCACAGGACACAATATCATCTGCAACACTCTTATCCAAGTGTGGTTGGTCAAGAGGTAGTAATGCTAAAACGCGGTGAAAGCGACGGGAACGATCAGTACTCCCTGATGACTGCCCATTGTCCTTTGGGCATTTGTGCGGCTTAGGTTCCCTTACGTCCAACTCATCTCGCCAGATGCACCTGGACAGTACACATCCTTGCTCACATGAAAGCGGCTGCAACTGCCGCGCAGATGCGAGCAACTTACGGCAGGCAAGCCAGGTGCTGAAGCACTCTGCAACAGCCGACACAGAGGCCGCTCGGCTTCATGCAGCTCCCAGGTTTTGTCAAGACTTCGCAATGACGCAAACACAGGAAATGAAAATTATGTCAGAACTTCATCCTTGAAAATATTTCTCTGCCTCCTGGAGTTCAGAGCTTTGAGCTTCTGAATTCAAAAGCATTTCCCACCACGCCGCAAACAACAGCACTGCTGCTACTTGGGAGGCGGCCGATGAGACCTGGCCGAGCAATTGCGCAGTTTCGCTTACTGTCTAGTTCTCCCAGGAGCTTCACCTGCCACTGTAAAACTCTTCAGAGTGTAATCCCTCTCTTCCATTGAGACGTGCAAGGGAGATTGCATCCTAGATGGTGCGAGTCTTGCTCAAACCTGAGGCGCCCAGTGATCCCAGCAATGCACTGCTAGTTGTCCCTACCCAGCCAACAACACGTGGCCGCTCTACTTGGGCGCTTGGACGAGGTCCTGGTACGAGGTTGCAGGAACCCTGCACTTATCGCAAAACCGGCACTCGGACTCTGTTGATTGTTGCGATTGTTGTGCAGAGTTGGATAGTCTTCAGCATGCCAGCCGCGGAGATTTGACTCAAGTGGCAGCTTGAAATGCTGGACACCTCACAGACTTTCAACAGTACCAGTAGATTCAGCCAGTGTTCCCTTTGCGGGTTTCAAGCCCTGATGTTGCACGATTTTGTTCTGCCTTCATGCCCTTGCCCATCATCACTTGTGCTGCACGCAGACTGTACAATGACAGGGCAAGCGACCTTGTCGTGGGTTGCAGAATTCTTGGTAGGAACGCCTTGCTGTCATTCACTTAAAATTTCCTAGCAAATTTCCTGAACATTGCTGCAACCCAGAATGCAGGTGCGAGCTTTCGCAAATTTTGTCAACCCCTTTCTCTGTGCTTTGCCTGTAACCATTCCTCTGGGATTCAGAGACGAGCTTAACAGAGCATGAGGGAGAATTCTGGCCAAGGACACTGGCATCGCACGGTAATGACTATGCTGAGGAATGCTCCCGCTCTCTCCAGTTCACAATGAATTAGGATAATTGCAGTGCAATTACTACGTGGAAATATGGTCTGGACTGGATTCTGCTTGAGAACTAGCGGACAATGCAAGTTGGGGGGGCTGAGATCGTGCAGGTCCCACAGCGCTCCGCTCACCGGGACAGCCGCGGCCGCTTTGCAGGTGGCTCACGGGCCTCAACAGCGTTTGTTGCTGCAGATACGGCCGATATGAGTTTACTCCGCCATCAAATCCAAATTATCAAAGGCTAGCTTGATGATTGCAACAGTGAGCCTATCCGAAGTCCACCGACCATCAAAACAGCTCAACGCACCCCAACTCTCACCGGGGTGGCCTGGAAGAGGCCCAGCTGCTTCATCGCTGCGCGCTGCGCCGGAACTTCCTCTCATTGCCCATGGTTGAACTACTGGCCTCTTGTGCGTCCAATCCTTGTCTTCTACCATGGTCTATGGGGTCGGATTGCGTTGTGAACATTCCAAGCTTGGAACACTGGCTGCCGTGTTGCAGCCGGCCAGCCCCCCCAGGGCTGTCTTGGGCACGGGATATGCTGAAAGAAGCTGCGGCTGAGGCCTGCAAGCGCAGCAAGCCCAAGCAGAAACCTGTCCTGCAGCGCGCACAGCGCAAACGCAGCCTGGCAAACATTGAGCTGAACAAGCTTGGTACAACCCAGGCAAGCCAGCAGACGAAATCGAGTCCCCCTCACAATGAGCATCATACACACTTGAATAACAAGAAGCTAGGTGCTTCAATGCTGAAACCCTAGGGGGGACAGGTGTATTCACTGGCATCCTGATGCAGGACAGCGCTTGATGAGCATAAGTACGACAAAGTACGGTAGGAACGAAAAGAACTACTTGAAGCTTCGTGGGACAGTAGTGACTACTTGCAACTGGGTTATGAAGCCCCTTACTGGCCTCGTACTCCAATCATAAAAATGATTACCACGTCGCCCCAGTTCTAAGAGGTTGCCACGTCCCATGAATCTTCAAGTGGTGAATTGCTCAACGATCTGAACGCATCTCATCAGGCAAAAAAAATGCCCGATTGAAAACTTTTCTTTGCCTAAACCAGGATCTTTACAGCATCTTGCAGCCTGCAGAAACGCTTCTGTGATGAAGGAGGTTTTATCTCATCAGCTCATGGCAAGAGTTGGCTTCCCGGCAGGGGCGCACCAGAAGGCTCAACTTGATTCACGCTGACCATCGAAGAGACAGCCTCGGCGAGTCGGCGCTCCCGAGGGCGCCCGCTTTCCAGCAGCGCCTGGAACTTCGCCTGGCACAAAAACGACCAAGGCTTCAGCATGAGAGCTGTTACAACTGCAATGGCAGTACCAGCAACCGTCTGCAGTCCAGGTGGCAAAAGGAACGAACCTCGGGCAAGTGGTGCCACTCAATGCTGCTCACTAGCTGAAGCTAAGAAAGCAAGGCACTGAAAGTTGTCGAACTGCCTGCTAGGAAGCGCATCATCAAATTCCTGCATCACGGCACAAGAGACGAGTTGTAAATCGCTGCACCACTCAGATTAGTTTAGCTACTGCAGTGTGTTTTGGAGCTAGCAGCCCGGTGACACTGCTCTCTCTGCCTCAATCTCAAGACTGTGCGCAATCCTTCATGACGTCCCACGGACCGTCACCTACACCAATCATGACCTGGGCGTCAGCAGCATGCAAAGCTCAGCAATACAATCTGCTGTTTAATGCTGTGACTGACAGACTAACAGCACAGGCGGGCTAGCAACTTGCAAACCTGCAATGGCTCATCCTGACCTTCTCAGCTGCCCCGAGGCTTCAGCAATCGAGAGCGGAGACTCACTTGCCACAACGAGAGCTTGCCTGGTAGCTTCCAAGCAGTCCCCGTCGTCAACGGCCTGTGGCAGAATGCTTGTGCCACCATACCGTTACCTGCCTGCGTGCCCGAAATGCAGCACAAAGAGCAAATCCAATTCGAGACTCATAACTGCTGCTCTCTTCTCACCCTCCAGCCGCTTACATTCTGCTGGCCAGGGGGCGCCATCTGCCAGAATCAGCAGAATGTGCTGCTCATTGCCGTTCTGATGCACCACTTCAAGCGCCTGACAAAAGCAGGTCTTACACTGCTGCTTGGGGATACCCTGTAAACGTGCTCAGCTATTGTATCTGATAACCCACATAAACCTGTACCCACACGAGCTCCTCATGACACAGTCATCCTCCCTGGTCAGGACTCAGGGTATTTGCACGAGACTGTGTGAGACCAGTGCACAGTGAAACGAGATGCCCAAAAGACAGTCAGGGCCAGCTGTCCAGATGCCTTCCTGCCAGTGCTGGCCATTGAAAAGACGACAGCTTGTGCTTTGGCTGGAGGACGCTACAGACGCGAACCCTTCTCCACGGACCACTCGCCATTGAATTCCCGCTGCAACGTGAGCATCGCAAAGGAGAGCATCAGCTCGGTCAGTTCAAGAACCTCGGCCACTCCTTTGAAAAGCCCAGTCCTCTTAACATCTGTTTCAAACGTAAAGAGAGCACCTAGCTCCAATGCGTTGCAATCCAAGCCACGGCATGGCCTTTTCCCGTTGCAGAGCAGCTCTTCTCAATGGCAGCATATGTCACGTTGTTGGGCTGCAGGGAGCCTTCGGAGATACGAACAAGCTTTTCAAGAGAATGCCTTCACCTTGAAGCCTGCACAAAGTCTCCAAAAGGTTTTTCTAGATGACATCCAAAGAAAAGTAACATCGTCAATCACGCGCCAACAGGCCTCTGAAATCTGTTGGCTCCCTTGCTGGACACTCCTCACACCGCTCTCCCCCTCCTTCTACTTCTCCTGTATGTGGACCTTTTCTTTTCCGCTTGGCCCCGGCCGAAAAAGCGTTCAAGGCCCACAGACTTCCCTGGCTACCCTCGTCCTGCCCTCTTTCCTGCGCCATCATCCACTAGTCACTAGAGGCGCCAAGGCCCCGATGCATTTCCAGATCAAAACACCTGATCTCACCAGCCTGATTCGATTTGCCGGAGAATGTCCAGCGCATGCTGCCACTGCATCGTGCCAGCTAATGCATCCAGAGCCTGGAAAGGATTGCCGAATTGTTGAGGTGACATCAAGCATGTAATCCAGGGCTTCGTAGGCCTTGGGCCCTGGCAGATGTGTACGCAACCAGATCCGGCTTCTGTGTTTCTTGCTGCATTTGACCTGCATCAAAGGACGAGATCACCCATTTCTTGCAGATGAGCCGAGGCGACTGACCCGGACTGCAAGCCCTGAAAGCAAACCGACAGCTTGCAAAAAGCCCAGGAGTAGATGCCCCAGATTTACAATTACAAGGGCACACGGCGCAGCAACAGCAACTTCAAGCACTTCTCCACAAACAACAAACACTGCTGGGGGCACAAGTTAAGTCTTGCAATTGCCAGATGGTCTCTCAGGGTGAAGAGGACACCGCCACATCCTCCCATGTCGAGCCAGCCGCACAGGCGACTTGATCAACTCCACTTGAAAAACATCATACTTTGGAACAACCATCCCGAGAACCCAGCCCAGCAGAGCAAGCACTGGCTGCCAGCGACGTGTCTGTGCGCAGGCACAGAGGGCCTAAGCGGATGATTTTGTTGCTGAGCCTAAGTGTAGAGGTCTTAGGAAATTCGTCAGGAATTTTCCTTGTAAAAGCACGTGCGCCACTTCAAGTTCACTGAACTTGAAGCTTCCATCTGCCTAGACTGCCTACACTGGCACACAACGAAAAAACAACGCAGCTAAAGGCGTTTTTGACATTCACAGATATCACAGATGTATGATAATAAATTCCAAGATCCTTGCCCAAGAGAGACTCCCCATGTGCTTGATGCCAGGACTGGGAAGAGCATCAAAGTCAAAGTTGGCGCTAACACAGATTGTTGACTGTGCTCATAGCCAGAAGGCAACCGGCTCTGGGATTCCAAGTGCTGGGGTCCATGGGCCCAAAATGGGTTGCTTGAGCGACTGAGGTCTTGCAAACTTTTCTCATAACTATCATCGCTACCACTCCCGCATGAGACTTCGAGACTTCGATTGACGTGTTCAGGTGCTAGGGTTCGACAAGCCTAAAGTCAATCTGCGAAGGTCTGAGGTAATGTTGGTCCCATTAACATCTGAGAGGCATGGAAGCCTACAACAGCTCCCTGTTTGCAGCTTCAGCAGCACAGCTGCAGCTCACGGCATCACGGCCAACCTGAGAGACTTAAAGATTCACAGACTAATTATTGTGCTCGGATGCTGCACTTCCTTCCGAAGCTAATACAGCACCAAAAACAGAAGAGCCACAATCTGGCCATGCTCTACATGTCGCACTGCGCCTTAAGCGTTGCCATCTCTGCCAGCAGGCTCAGCGCACCTTCCCGTATCTTCCCGTTACATGGTCAGATCACACCAAATCAGATTGTCCATGCACCCGGCCAGCCATGACCAGCTAAGCATCCAAAGTCATG